TTTATTTATTTTTGAGACAGGGAGAGACAGAGCATGAACAGGGGAGGGTCAAAGAGAGGGAGACACAGAATCTGAAACAGGCTCCAGGCTCTGAGCTGGCAGCACAGAGCCCGACACGGGGCTTGAACTCAGGGACCATGAGATCATGACCTGAGCCGAAGTCGGCCGCTTAACCGACTGAACCACCCAGGTGCCCCAACTCCCTATGTCTTAAAGTCAATGCTTTGCTAGAGGGAAAAACAGCCTTAACTTGACAAATAGCTAGGCCTGCAGTATTCTGAGAATCTTCTTTAGCATATGAAAATCTCTTTGAAAACTTCCCCTTGACTTGACCTCCTCCAACTCCTTAGTATATAAACAGTCACTCTTTACAACCCCAGTGCAGCTCTTTCTGCTTCAATAAAATCACCTTTTTGTACCAAAGACTTAGAAAATTCTTTCTTGGCTGTCAGCTCAGAACCTGCCCACCTCCCACCCCCGACTCCAAAACTTTATCAGATGGATTATACTGTGAACATGTTGTCTGATTTGCTTTAACAGTTGTTACCCAGGCGCTTGAGTCCCTTGTGAGAGAGAGTATACAGAAAAAAGAGCATGCATGGGTCAGGTACTGTGCAAAGTGCTTTAGATCTAGCTTCTCTTCCAAATGGGGGAAGGCGTGTTGAGATTCAGACTCAGGTCTGTGCAACCCCAGGCCCTAAACTGATTCCTTTGTGCTCTGCTGTTGGATTTGATGAGTTCAGTTTTGGACATTTTGAGTCTTAGATACCTATAGGGCATACTGGTAGAGATATCTCCAGGGAGTTGAATGTACAGAACTAGGGTGGGCAGAATCAGTGCTTAAAGTGATAACTGAAGACATGAGCTTAACTAGGGAGTGAGAAGAGGATTGGGAACAGAACTCTGAGGGACACCAACATTTATGGGAAGTAAAGGAAAGGCCCATGCAGCCCAGGAACATTCATGTAAATACTGCTTCCTCTTTTTCCTGTGTTTTTGAGATCCCTGCATGCAAGCAGCAGCTATACAGCCCTCCTCTGAGAAGAAACATAGGCACTGATTTAGGAATAATAAAACCTGAGTCCTTTAAAAAAAAAAAAAAAAGAATTTGAGTAATCTCTGTACCCAGTGTGGGGCTTGAACTTAAAACCCCAGGATCAAGAGTTACATGCTCCACTGACTGAGCCAGCCAGGCACCACTAAAATTTGAGACCTGATACTACCTCTCCCTATGCAGACCCAGTTTTTCTCTCTTTCATGAGTAAAACCTTCCCAAATCAACGTGAGGGTTTCTGAGTGTTGCCAGAGGCCAAGCCAGGCAGTTTCTGACAACTTCAGAGCCTGTTGATTCAGGAGAAGGCTGGAAAGCCAATGCCTCAGGCAGAAGATGAGGAAGTCCAGAGCTGGCAGAGTATGACTTCCTGTCCTAGAGGAAAACATTTGTTCTTTGCAGAGACTCTTCTATTCCCTCCCTTGGAGCTCTTGTTCTTTGAAGCTCTTTGTTAGGTCTTCCTACTTGTATAATCCCAACCCCCCCCCCCCCCCCCCAAGCCTCATTGTTTTGGGTTTTCAGTTTCAGCATCAAAAGAAAGAGAAACAAGCATCAGGTTTCTTCTTCCTTTTCGCCTTAGATCAGGCCTTTGTTCAAGGCTCTCAGTCTAAGTCCACGTGTAATTTCAGAGTTCTCCAATGTGTGCTGGGAAATCCGGGAGAGGCCAACGGTCACTTGTTTGGGGATCAAGCCCAGGAAACCAGCCACAGACCCTGGTGGCAACTGGCAGGCTAATTGCTCCTGTGAAGTCCAGACATGATTGCCTGATCCTCTGGCAAGTTTATATCCCTGGGAAGTTTGCTAGCACTCAAGTGATCTGTGGTTTGATGCCCAGATTGAACTTTTTGTTTTTGTTTTAGCAGAAACAGGTGGTCTGCATAACCAGGTTATGCTAGACTGTAAAGTTCTTGCAGGGGTGCCTGGGTGGCTCAGTCCATTAAGCATCTGACTTTGGCTCAGGTCATGATCTTCTGGTTCGTGAGTTCAAGCCCATGTCGGACTCTCTGCTCTCAATGCAGAGCCTGCTTTGGATCCTTTGTCCCCTCTCTCTCTGCCCCTCCCCTGCTCTCTTTCTTGCTCTCAAAAATAAACATTTATAAAAAAAAAAAAAAATTCTTCGGAGTCAGACGTATCAGGAAAGACAATTTTGATGTGTCAATTATACTTAGAACTTGTCTTAGTTCTTGCTCTACCATAATATTCTGGATGTCTTTTCAGAACTTGGAAACAAAGGTTATATTTATAAAGGTATTGCTGGCAATGAAATCAATCCCAAGGGAGTGATATCTATAGTACTAATGAAATCAAGGGAAAAGACTTCTACCTTATCTGCTCTAGGGTGAGCATTCTTTCTTTTTTCCCTTTCGCTTGGATAATTGCTATTCATCAAGACTTGACTTGGCATGCCTGGCTGGCTCAGTTGATAGAGCATGCGACTCTTGACTTTGGGGTTGTGGGTTTGAGCCCCACATTGGTGTAAAGAATACTTAAAAACAAAATCGTTTTTTTTTTTTACTTTTTTAATGTTTATTTATTTTTGAGAGAGAGAGGGAGAGAGACAGAGCATGAGTGGGGGAGAGGCAGAGAGAGAGGGAGACACAGAATCTGAAGCAGGTTCCAGGCTCTGAGCTGTCAGCACAGAGCCCGACGTGGGGCCCAAACTCACAAATCATGAGATCATGACTTGAGCTGAAGTCAGATGCTCAACCAACTGAGCCACCCAGGCACCCCAAGAA